TGCTAAGCCTTATCAGACTGAGAAGGGACCTGACCTGTTATTTATATCTAATATATTAATAATGTACCATATGTTTTCTAGCAGAGAACTGCTTAGGAGTGGGATGAAGGGAGCTGGATTTTTTTTTTCCCAATATTTAAATATAGCTAGCAAATACTGAAATATTTATGGTTTGGCTCTAGATGAGGAGAGAATAATTTTCTTCACTGTCTTTCCTTTCCTTACAGGGTAAAAAAATGGTAATCAGAAGTGGTTCAGAGAAGAGAAATTTTCTCATCTAATTTATCTTTATGGGCCAATTTTGGATCCAGCTTGGATTTAGTCCTATGTGCAATCGTTCATTGCATGGGGATTTTTTCTAGTTCAACTAATGGAGATGGAATTTCATCTCAAGAATACAGAGATCGTGACTTGAATTTCTTCTGAATCGTAGAATTTTCCTATTTTAAAAAAAAAAAAAAGAGAGACCAAACCAGTTATTTTTACAGTCATTGAGGTTTTTTCATGTATCTTGTGATTCCAGAGGGATTTTAGTGTGCACTTCTTCTGTTTTTCGTTGTGATTCTTCCTGACACGAACTAAACCAGTCAGACCTTTTCCATTCTAATATCATTCATGGAAAAAAAGAGGATATAATCTCTTTTGTTCCTTATAAGGCATCTTTTTTCCAAAGGTTTCTGTCTGTTGTGCAGCAAGACTTCAATTGCCTTTTTTTTCCTTGGGAATTTCGGCTTTTGAAATGGAAAATGTTGCTTGATGCAGGTTCTATTAGCATGAGAATCTTCCTGCTTTCAGAACTGGCCTCTATTTTATAGCTAACATCATCTTTAAAATGGTCAAATAGAAAAGCCTTATACCAAAGCCTTAGGGGCTAGCCTGGTTTTGTGCAGAAAGGAGAATGAAATTTCTCTTTGTACCACCTAGAAAGGACATATTTTCTTATACTGTAGCTAATTTCAATGGAATGTAGCAACAACAGCAATAGTTTACCTGAGAAGCAACTTTAACAGATTCCAACTGACAGAGAACAGTTCTCTTTTTTCTTTCCAGATTTCAGCAATGTTGCTGTCTTGCAAGCATGCAAGAGAGTGTCAGAGAGTTTGCCAGACTTTGCTGCATTGGAAACCCGTGTTTCCTGCAAAGTAAAACACCTTAAAACCACTGAAATACTTCTGCTAATGCTTTGCTCTTCAAGTCAATTTTTGGTTGGAATTTTTGCAGTTGCAGTCAGTTTGATAGGAGATTTTTGGTTCAAACTGATCCCAGAATTTTTCTTGTAAGCCTCAGCTTTTGTTAGGTCCTGGCGGCAGCATTACTTCTGCTCCAGAAAAAGCATATTTAGCATTTATTCTTAGTAAATATTAATGCGTGCCATTTATGCTTTCTACTGTGTTGCTTTGTTCATTTGGTGTTTATTTGTAACTGTTCGTCAAATACTGTCAACCATGCCACCCTGATTTGGAGTTTTTTCATCTTCAGCAAGAATTTGCCATTAAAGCTATTTCCATGTAGAAGAATAGGACTTCAAACTTCCAACTTGAGTTCAAGCTTCAAGGCATTAACTTATTTTGAAAAAAAAACCAACCCAGATTTAATGAGGACTCTTGGCTTTCCATAGTAGAGAGCAAGTGTGATGTGCCTAACATTCAGAGAAAAAATAGCTTGAGCTTGTTGCTGAAAGAGGCAGGGGGTGGAGGGGGGGGGAATCCCAGCTGTTGCCATCATATTCTGGACATCTTAATTCAACAGGCAGGGTTTTCATTGGGTACTGGTGAAAATATTGCAGAATAAAGACAGAGAAGAGAAGAGAACAGAACAGTACTGACAAACTTACTGCAATGTGTATGAGAGGACAGATGACATGAGCCAATCTGACTTTTCCCTGTGGGTGATACATCTGGTCTTAAGGCAAAAACTCGACTGATCTGTGGTTTTTTCGTTTTTTTTGTTGTATGTGGTTTTTTCTTTCTTAAGATGAAAAGGAGAAGGGAGAGGGAGGGAGAAGAAGAAACGAAGAAAAAGAATATTGATTGCAGTCATGCAGCTTGGCAAACAGTTCTTAATTTCTCAGGAAGGCCAAAGAGGTTGCAGTGTATCCCTTTATCACCTTGGTCTTGGTTGTTGAGGCAGATGTGAGAGCACAGCAATGTCACTTTATTTTTTTTTGTAATTCATTATTATTCCTTCTAAAGGAGTAAACCACTGATTAAAGAGCAATCTTTCTGGGTTTACTGCAAACATTGACAGTACATAATTTCCCTGGAAAGAAAAAAAGCACTTTTTCATACTTGTCACTTAAAACTGCATCAGTTTCTGGGATGATGATTTAAATGCAGCTGCTATGGTTGCAATAGGACTGCAGCTTATGATACAGTCTATAGCTGCAAACCCATGTGAGGACTGGTGGAAAAAGATTTAGACAGAGAACAGATTTTAATGTTTTTCTTGCAAAGAACATGGCCAATCACTAGCTGTTGCTTGCTCTTAAGTATCTGCAAACATTATGTGCACATACAAATTTTATATGTACAAAGCATTAATTTTCTGTTTTTCTAGATAGGATTGCTAGGAGCTAATAACATTCTATCTAGTCAGTGGTATCATAGTTAGTCACTGAGTAACAGAGTATTCTAATAAACAGCAGTGAGCAAAATGTGCTTATTTTATGGAGATAAACAACAGCATGTAAGCATCAAAGCTAAAACTTGCCTTTAAATAAATGTGTGTCATGATGCACTTCTGAAATAATTTCTGAGCAGGAAAAATCTGTTACTGATGAAATTACTGTAGGGACTCTATTTTGGCTAAAGTTGGAAATGTTCTTTCCACCTTTATACTAGTAATGTGGTAATGACTATAGGATTCTTATCTTTTGAGAAATCTACAACTGCATGTTTAGTCTGAGCAAAGCATTTAGCCAGCTACGTATGTTCTATAAGGGCCACAGAAAGGACACAATTTCCTGAATATAACCACAGAGTGCAAATACTGTGCCCTAAATAAAACACCAGTTACTGTAAATGTCAGTAGAGGGAGTTTTTCTGACTTTGATTTAGTAAGAGCCTATAGCAAAGCCAGCTGTTAACACTTCTTAACTGCTTGTCATTGTGAAGCGGGGAGCATAATTTCTACGCATTTTTGTGTTCTGATTAAAAGAGGGGAACAGTTTTTCAGACACCTCCCAACAGGTGCAGAACCCCAGCATTAGCTGTATTGGGCTCTTTACTTTGCTCCTTTTTTTGTGTTTGTACTGAATTTGCTAGTTCTTCTTGGTAAGTTCTTCCAGGAAAAAGCTGATGCCTACCTTGGAAACACATCATCAAAGGCTAAGGGAATTTATTTCAGGTTAGTTGATGAGACCTTCAAGTGTGAACTTAGCATGAAGACAAAGAGTGCACGTTCATATGTCTGTGTAGAAATAATTTTACTTATTTGTCACAAACAGGGATGGAATTAACAAAAATGGATGAAACAGTGATAAACAGAACAGACTAACGTCTTGCCAGCACAATCATCTTTTGTAAATCGAGACAGCTTCCAATAGTTGCCATTTGCTGCAAAAGGCAACTTGTTCTGCCCTAATGCATAGCTTTTTGAATAATGGGCGAGACTATGCAATGAAATAAAAATTTCTTTACAGTGGTTCAGGCAGTATTTTGCAGCTATAGCTTTTGAGGTTTTTTGCAAGGGCAAAAAATTGTGCATGCAAATAGTCTTTCACAAATGAAAATTTTCATGCCCGAGTCAAGTTGCTTGGTTGCCAGTGTGCATGTTGAACTGCAGGCCAGTGTACAATTTCAAAATTGCACACATTATAGAATCATAGAATCATAGAATCGTTATGGTTGGAAGAGACCTCAAAGATCATCAAGTCCAACCATATACCCAATGCCACCATGCCCGCTAAACCCACTAAACCATTTCTTGAAGCACCACATCTAAACGTTTTTTGAACACCTCCAGGGATGGTGAGTCCACCACCTCCCTGGGGAGCCTGTTCCAAAGCCCAATGACTCTTACAGTGAAAAAGTTCTTCCTAATATCCAACAATTGATGAAAGTTACGAATGTTTTCAGATTGGCAGACAATACACCAGGGAGTCCAGTCTGTGGTGACGGGCAGGTGTATTTCCTTATGATCATGTATTTTGAGGCAAGAGCAGTTCTAGAAAGTAAATTTTCACAGCAACACATGTTCCTGGGAAATAAGTAGGTCCTGACACTAGTCTTACGTGTATGATCGTTTGCATTGGTGCTAGACATGTTGTTTCCACTTATTCTTTTTCTCCTAATATGGTAAGCACTCTTAAAATGAAATACTTTGAATGGGAAATGATGAGGGAGGGCAGAAAGAAGAAATAAGCTGATTTTGGTTTGTTAGTTATGTATAACATGGGGAATCACGTTTTGACTGAAGCAAGATAAGTGTTCTCTCAGCAAAGGCAGATGTATTGGAACACACGGAGGCTGACTTTGCTGTAGAATTTAATGGTGTGCATTTCTACTTTTGTGGAAGTGTATACATAGTTCTATTTCTAGCATTGTCATCTTCAGCATCATTTTGATTTTTCATCCCTTTTTGGGTTGCTGAAGCCTATGGCCTACTGTTTCAAGACTAGCTTTTCTCTAAGTGATCTTAATTATTCTGAAGTGTAATTTTTCAGAGTAGACATCTGCATTACAACAGAAACCATATTAAACAACTGGAGAAAAAGGTGTGGAAAGGTGAAGGGAGATAATGAAACATTGACAATACCATGTACTTCACCTCTTCCGTGTAAAATAATCAAAAAAGAAATTACAATAAAAGCTGATGTTCTTTCTCTGCTTTTGCGTAATCAAGCTACTTTGTGCACTTAAAGTCCTTACGTGCAGAGGCTGAAATGCATCCAGCCCTTCAGATGAGGAGAAGATAAAAGGTATTTTATTTTAGCACAAAAGATGATTTACATTTTCACTCTCTTACTCTTCCACTTGTCTTTCCTTCTTCCCCATTTACAGCTTCTGCGATCCCAGATAATGGAAGGAGATCCTGTCTAAAGCTTAAGGTCTTTGTGCGACCAGCAAGTAAGTTCTTCAGATTAAGCTTTTTGAGGGTGACTTTATAGTGCATGCTTTACTGTGTGGTCTAGTAAACAGCAGTAATTTTTTTTTCACTGTTAAATCTGTGTATCTGTTCTGTAGAGCAATATTTATGTTATTTTCATTATATTTTTCTTATCATTTTTCATAAACCTTTGTTTTAATTACGTGGCAGTTGCTAACTTGTTGTTTCTTAAACTGTTGTGCAAATGGAAGACTATACTGGCATTTGGACAAGTGCCACAGATTTTAAAATACAAATGTGCTTAATTATATATAGTAAGTAGAGAGAAAAAAGAGAGAAAAAAAGGAAAGTGGGGAGTTTAAGGGTGTCTCACTAACATATTTGGCTGTTATCTCTATTTTTGTTATAGACAGCTGTATGAAAACTATAGGTGTTCATGATCGTGTTTTCGATGTTAACGACAAAGTAGAAAATTCATTAGAACCAGCAGGTTAGTATACTTAGAGAATCTCTTTTAACAAAAGCATTTATCCCTCTGGTGCTTCAGTACTTTTTTTCCTCTTCTCTCTGCATGCTTTGCATGGTACAACTACTCTGCTTTTGCACATTTCTAGCAGTCCTAGTATCCCTTATGGTATATTTCCTGTATCCTTGTTTAATGCAGGGGAGGAAAAAATGTTGCTTTATTTGGTTTTTGAGTGATGTGGTTTAATAAGATATGGTGTGTGCCAGTGTAAAATTTTCACCAGTATGCTGAAGTCACTTGCCTATCCCAGCCAAACACCCAGCATGTTGGCAAAACACTCTATTTACTAACTAGGCCTAAAGTTTTAGAAATAAAGCCAATGGGGACATTTCACTTATTCAAAATAAAACAGAACCACTGCTTGTTTAATTCTGGTGCATGACACAGACATGCAACTGACAAGAGTTAGTGTTTAAGTAAGAAATTAGTCCTCTAAAATTATATACTTTTGTATGTATATTTGGTTAGGCAAAGTATCATTTTTACATATGTGCATGCGCACACACGCACTCTGATATATATAAATTCCTATCCTGTTTTACTGAAGCAGACTTAAGTTTGGGGGGGCTTTTTTGTCTTTTTTTGCAAAACACTGCCTTAGGAATAAGAATAATGCTTGCTATGATAAAGCCCCTCGTCTGCCTAGGGCAAAGTTACAGTAACCTCAACCATCAATCAAGCTGTGTCTCTGTGTGGAAAGTGCATATGTATTGTTTATATGGCTCAGATTTATGACAGATAGAAGCATGTTTAATTCTAGGGGTGTGAGTAATCCCACCAACCTCAGTGGGATGGCTCATGACATTAAAATTAGGTGGATATGTAGGAAAAGTATTTATAATAGTAGTATCACCTGTTTGTTTTATGTGTACCTATACACTGCTCACAAACTGTATTCAAGCCTAAATAATTAAAATACACAGTTAAATAAGCAAATTATACCAGAAAAAAATTACACATGTACCATTTAGTACATACCCTGAAGAACAGATTGCCAAGATCTTTTTTTTTTTCTATTATGCTATTTGAAAGACACTGCCCCTTTGGAATGGAGCAACCTACCATTTTTTTTTTGCTCTTTGTTATTTGCAGTTCCTTTAATTAAAACTCCTTATTTATACAGAAGTATAAGTAAGGCTTTCACAAGTTAGCCAGTTTCAACAATTTACCTATGGCTACACAATAGATTTTATTTTCTCTAACAGAAATTTTGGAACTCTCCTGAAAATTTTGGTTTTGAAAATCAAAGATGTTCTGTAAGCAAATCTAAATGCAAGGAGAGTGCATTTACATTAATACATTTGTACATTTGTTAATGGCATTCTTCTAGAGAAGGCGTTAGGATGGTCTTTCCTTATCTCTAGGTAACCTATGAATCTAGAAGCTCAATGCATTTTTTAATGTTTTGTTATTTGGTGAACATGGGCTAAGTAATGTGTATTTCTCCTGTTACTGGTTTGCAAAAGAGCTCATCTGAGTAATAAATACTTGATTTCAGAAGACTTGCTGAGTATTTTTTTTCAGCAGTGCCATTCATTTCACATTGAATGGCTGAACCTAATAACTAGCATCATCACAAACGCGTTATCGATAGAAAGCAGCAGGCAAGCCAGGGAACCAAAATCATACAAAGAGCATCCTGCAGTCTGAGATGAAATATTGTTTGTGTTACCAGGAGGAAATAATAGCTCTGATGAGAAGGTTTGGTACCGAAAAGTTCCCACTCCTGACATCAGTGCATATTTGCATTATTATTTGGACCAGTCAGTATTAGATAATCAGTCATTCCCAGATCTGCCAACTGCTGTCACACTTTTCTGTTATTAGGCTGTTAGACTTGCCACTGCCTTGGTGGATCTTGTTGCATGTGATCTGTGTCATGTACTAATTTACCTGCCTCTGACGTGCGTCTTCTGCTTCTGTGCTCTCCCCTTGCCTGCCACTGTCTTCTTCCACAGTAGACAGAAGAATTGGGAGGCAGGAGGGTCATGTTCAGCAGATTATTTATTGTCACTGTTCTTTTAAAAATCACCATTTGTGTGATATTTGAACCCTTGTAATTTCACTGGTTTTGTTCAGGAATTTGTAGGAAGCTGGTCTATAGAGATCACACTTGTTTCAGAAGTGATGAAAGTAACTGGCGCTATTCCTGTCTTCCCCTTCTCTTCCTCCTTAATAATAAAAATAAAAAGTCTCTAAACAAAAATTGCAACTGTACATATCTGGAAAAATTATACCTGAAGCATATGATGTAAAGCTATGTAATCTGGAAAATTCATGGCTGTCAAAATAATTTTTCTAATTACTGCTGCCGTCCTCAGTCTTTAGCAGTGACTTTTGAGGTTTTACTCAGAAATGTTGTCCTCTTCATCACTTGCTTTGAGCGTTTAAAATAAAGCAAAACATTTTTCCCAAGCATTAAAGATTGTGCAGTGTCATAACTCTGGAGCTCCAAGGAAAATCATATTTGTAAAGTGATTTTAAGCATCACGGATTAATCGTGTGCTCTACTATACAAGTGCAGAAACCTTGGAACTGCATTGACAGAAAACCCAGATGATTTCTTGAAAGGAACCCCTTAATGTAACATGAAAATTAATTCTTCTGTGAAGAATGGCTTTATAAAAATGTCACCATAGAAGATCTCCGTATTTTTCATTTAAGAAAAGTAATCTTTTCAGTTTAGGGCTTTTCCATCGAGTTTTTTTAGCAGTAGCCAGTGTTCCAGTCATGGCAGTGTCTGATAGTCAAAGAGAATGAAGATTTATTACTGCTCTACAGTAGTTCTGCCCTATTATGTTTTACTGCTGACTCATGGATGTAATTAGGACAAAACTCTTGACATTCAATGTTGCAAATTCAGACTTATTTGCAATTCTATTGATGATGCAAGAGGTAGAAGGTAATGCACATCATTGTCCTCTGTAGTTGTAGTTCATCAGCAGGGAGTAAATGTTTCCAAATGGGGAAGAGCTGACTCTAAATAAATGGAAGGAGGTAGAGCTGACAGTTAGAATAAGGTTATTTTTGCCCCCATAACTTCTGAGAGTATTATTTAATTGGAAAGCTGCTCTTGTGAAGTACTATATGCTCATTTTGGTAACACCAAAGTACAAGACAGTAACTCAAAAGTGAAATGTGAAACAGCTTTTGATACTGACAACCACTAGGAATGGCACTTTTCAGTAGCCAGCATTCACTGAAATTTTTAGATTCCTTTGGAATAATTCTAAAGGAAAAATATTAGGGCCTCGTTCAGGGCTGAAGTGCCTGGGAGGTTCTCCCTGCCATACATGGTGAGGAGCTGTAACCAAAGTCATTCCAGCCAGTCTTTCCCACTGACATCAGTGGGACTTTAATCTGATGTCCCTTTCTTAAAAACTTGAACTTATTTACAGCTGATCAGTGCTCGCTTTTCATACTTTTACCTTGAGCAGCACTGAAGACCTGTTGATAAGCCTGACACAATTGTAGTGTCAATTAGTGCTAGAAGAAAATATGTGATAAATTGCTAATCCAGTTTACTGTGCCTCTTGCTGTGTAACCAAACTGGGGCTGAAGAGACTATTAACCTGAATTATGCTAAGTGCTCTACCTGTTTTGTGCGAGGTGTCAAGGGTATGAAGGGGAGGGAGTTTGTTTTAATGAAAGCTAAGTAACACGAAAGGCTCTATGCCAGAGTGGCATGGCGATCCCAGTGTTCTGATTCCCTCTTCCCTTAGTGCCTTTAATTGGAATTGCACAGCTCTCACCCAGTGTAATCCTGGCAGTGCAGTTTGTTGAGATGGGAGCTACGAGACAGATACATCATAGATATGTAGACATCTCTCATAAAATGGAGGAGCTTATTACACTAAGTAGTGAGATACTATTAATTTTCCTGGAAACTTGGGCGCTCTAAAATAACTTATGAATACATTTTGAGGCCACTTCGTATTTCCTAAAAAGGTTTAGCTTATTTCATTATTTTAGTACCAAGAAAATTCAGACCCAGAGCTGACTTTTTATGGCAAGCCTCAGACAGATTACTTTTAAAATAGCGAAATTAGATAGCTGTGGATATGGAGGGCTTTGCAGAGAAAAATACCACACCTGTAACAACACTGAATTTGAATTTGACTTTATCTACCTTTTTTATGTTACAAACTGTGGCTTTAAGGCTGATCTTTAGTTGACAAAAACTAAACAGAGCTTTATTTGATATCATAAATTAATATTTGCTACCGTGTTCTCTTCTGCCACTAATGTATTAGCATGTTTTCCCAACTCAGCTGGTTCTTTTTTAAATTAGTTTTAGCAGCATATATGTAATTCTGTATTTATGTACCATAACAATTAGTCTGTTACCTATGAGGTTTTCCAGATTGAGTATGTATCCTATAAAATTGGAGTTTGTCATATGTTAGCCTTTAAAATTCTGTTTTAAGAAAGGGAGACTGGTCTTATATCCCTTGTGCATCCCCAGATGCAGTATACTTCAGTGGAAATTTTATGCATGGAAGCAGAATATATACTTGGGCTTACAGGCTGTCATTTCAGATTCAGGAGCCAAAATCTGTAACTGAGTAAGGGGATTAACTGCAAAATTAATTCTAAGCACATGCAACTCTTCTTCAAGCCCTTTTGGAAATCAGGTGTTGTTATTTAGCTGCCTCCCTATCGACATTGCTATCTAATGAGCCATCCAAAGCTAGAGCTACAGTGTTTTATTAGAAGAGGAATCTTTCATTCCTCAATCTGCTGAAATCAGACTTACTTTCTGCTCCTCTGGTCTTCAGTGGGAGTTTTGCCAGTAAGAAATGGAGGACTTGGCCCCAAGTTGGTTACATAATGAGGTATTACACGCTTGTGAAAGTCAATGACAGCACAAGGTTCATTGCCCTATTTCATAAAGGCACTGAAATCTACTTACAGTTGTCGGCTCAGTGAGAGTTTATTAAGGATGCAAAATCTCATTGGAATGTATGCTTTCTGTTTGAACAGATGATACCGTACATGAGTCAGCCGAGCCATCCCGTGGTGAGAACGCGGCACAGACACCAAGGATACCCAGCCGGCTTTTGGCAACTCTGTTGTTCCTCCTGGCAATGCTTTTGATATTATAGCACAGTATGCTCCAGCAACCTGTCGCAGAAAATATCAGGGTCTTGGAACATCAAAGATCCACCTAACTGCTCATCCCAAGAAAGGGACTTTATTGTTTTTGCAGATGTCAAATTGTTATTTTTCCCTTTTCTTCTCCCTTTTAGCCTGAACTCAGCAAAAATTTGAAGGGGATAACTAGCTTCTGCACCCATCCCTATCTACCCTGTGACTTTCTTAACCCCTCCATATAAATAAAAGGACTCCAAATGAAAATGCCAAACTATAATAGTGACACTAGTGATTCTTATTTTCCTCTGCATTCTCCTTTAAGAAGTCACCTCTATTAGCTCACTGTGTCATCCATATGTGGACAAGGAAGAATAGTGGCAGATGCAGTCAGTGAAGGATAAGGAAAGTGAGTGAAAGCCTGGGAGAGTTTTTCTCTCTGATACAATATTTATGCCTTCTCGTTCAGCACTGTAAGATGGTCATGCAAGGCATCGTGTCACCATGTCAGGACTGGAGGGGAAATATTAAGAATAGATATAATATAACACCATTTCCTCCAGGAGTTTCTAAATGAACAGGCTTCTGAAAGGGAAAGCCGATGTTTCTTATAGGACTGTCTTGAAACATCTTTGACAGTAAAATTTGTGCTCATGAGTAGAAATGCTGTCTTTGGTGAGAGGAAGAAGTTAGTATTTAGGAATGTTAGCACACAACAGGCAAGGTCAGATTTAGGAAACTTCACTGGGGGTGTGAGTGCCTCTGTTATTTCGTTTTAAGGGGATAATGCACACCGGATTATTTTATTTTAAAACAAATCACCGTGGTGCTACAATTTTTTTCTTGAAATGCAGAGGCACTTTTCAGAATAAAGTGACCTTCCCCAGCGCTGACTTAGTAGTTGATAGCCTTTGATGCTGCTTTGGGTGTTAGTACATGCTAAGAGATGACATCAGTGGCCAGAGGAAACATATTTGGGACACGGGATCTCCAGTGTGCTCTTGATTTGTCTCTCCTGCAAGTTCCTCAATCATGGGAATGAACTGCATGTAGAAGAAACCAGGACACTCTAGTAGCATTGTTTGGTGGGGGGAAAGAAAAGAAGTGTGGAATACGAATTCAAGTGTTGATTTTTTATCTTTTCCCCTTCCAGCACAGTTTGAAGAGTAGATGAAACGTGTTTATCAGCCAGAGATAAACTAGATGGGCTCCCAAAGACTTAACAAAATATTTTTTTAAAAATCTGCTAGAATAGAAAATACATTATTTAGATATACTTTATGCTGAGAGTGAGTATATATGCTTGTCCTATTTAAACATGTGAGAGAAGTGGTAACCCTTGATGCAATTAGGAAATGGGACTGTCTTGTTTGATGGAATTAGGAGTGACCCTGTTTAAGGAATCTGAACCTTGGCTAATGTAGAACTTTAAAAAAGTCATTTGCCAGGAAGTGCAAACCTTGGGGTATTTTTTGGCTAGGCTGCCATGAAATATGGACTGCTAAGCATAATCAGGGAAATATCAGACCAAGACTGAAACAGAGTTTTTCTGACAAAAACTCTGATAATTATGTTAAATGTGAAGCAAAACATGGAGCGCATTCAAGCAAAACAAAAGTCTTCTATATTAATTCTGAACAAAAATTGTGGTGTAACAAAATTGAGTGATACGATTAACAGACAGCACTTTGTGGGCTTTTTTTTAATAAAGAAAAGCTTTCCAGAAGTTGAAGCAGCCATTATCCAAAAAAGGAGAGAAGAGGGAAATAAATTTTAAATGTAAAGGGAGGTTTATGCATGCTAAACTATGATCTGGGCTTGCCTGATATCCTACAACATGGTCATTATTGCAGGGCCTGTGCTTATGGGAGGAATACAGGAAAATTCCTCTAGTAAGGAGTGCACACAATAGAGAGGCGCAGTCTGAACAGTGAGGGAAGTCATCATCTCATTACAGGCTATCTGGTACTTTTCTCTCTTTAATGTAGATGTGCTTGGTACACATGCTAATACCTCCTGTAGGTGGGAATTAAGCTTTGGATGAGGTGGGCTTAGTCAAAATGCACCTTATCAAATGGATTATTAACCAGAGTACAGATAATATTGCATGATAGGTAACCATATTAAAATGATTCATAGCAATTGCAGGCAGTCGTACGAGTCGTGCCAATTTAATGTAGAAATGATGACTTAGTTTTTCGTCCTTTGTCTCTGAATGATGCTAGAGTTCAAGACATACGTTTATCCACAGCAAAGGTTTTTCACTAGTGTTGCTCCTGGTGAAATTCACCCCTTTGTTTTGTCACAGAGCCCTGCTGGGTAGATGAGGAACAACACAAGTGACGCAGCTGCAAGTCAGATCCCTGTGCTGCCTGGCCTGGTGTGGCTGGGAGCGTACCAGACACTGTCAGTTTGATACTTGGTGGCATCAGGCGATCCCGGTCATACTGAGTACATAAATGCTGATGGGCTTTGTGTTGCATTGCAAATCTCTGGATGCTTTAAATGCAGATGTTGGTGCAAATTAGGGAGATTTCTGCTCCCTTGCCCTCTATCTGTCCCAGCTCAAGTCTGAGGGACTGATTCTCCCTCAGCCTGGGTGGCTTTCTTAACCCCATGACCTGCACTCCTGGCTGCCAAGGGCATTGCAATGTGAAGCAGGGAAAATAGGGATCAGTCAGTTTAGTGGATACTGTGTATCCTTTAATAGGCAAGGTAACATTTCGTGTTAGTTTAGAATATTGTTTTGTACTGTACTTACTTGGATGGCAAAGGAAAGACAAGTAAAACTTAAAGCTATGTTCTTTAAATTCTGTATTATTAGCAACCTCTGTTGTACATAGTGTTTGATAATAAAGTATTAATTTGATTCTTATGTCTTTTGTAAGTGAGAACAATAGACTTTCAGGATATTAAAATCACATGTTGATTACAAGACAGAGCTTTGAAGCATCAAGTGTGATCATGGCTGAGAACTGAGAGACAAGTGGCCATGACACTGCAGCATACAGGACTCACCTTTGAAAATCGTTCATCTATTGCAAGACTTCACAATGTCAAGACCTGGAACAACATGACTTTTGATGATCAATGTTTTGTCCTCAGTGTTTAAAGATCTGATGTTGGAGCCCTGTGGTTTCTGTGTTAGTTTTTGTTCTTTTGTATCATGTTTGTTTCTAAAAAGGCTTTGGGGATATAACAACTCTTCTGTTATTTTGTTTGTTTGTTTGTTTCTTTTTTCTTTATTTTTTTGCTCCTGTTTTCCTTCTTGTTTTGTTTCCATGAATAGTTTTTTCCAGAAAGGATCTTGCCAGTGTCATGTGCGATATATGTATGTACTTGATTCCAAAAGAACTAGAAGCAAATTTGGGAGTTACTGAGAGTAGATGAGTAGATCGTTTCCTTTCCTATATAATTGTGGAAGGAAAATGGTTGTATTTGTACCTGTTGATTCCCACCCCTAACCCTCAAAACTGAACTTAGTCCATTGCCTTGTGAGAGCAATGGTTCAGTCACTTTCAGAGGCTTAGAGTGTTAACTCTTCCCCTCCTTTCATTACACTTGGATTTTGTAATCACCAGTTTTAATGTACAGCCCTCCACACTTCTCTTCCCTCTTCCTGGCCTTCCTCCTCTTCCACCCTCCTCCTTTCTTAATTTGGAGCTGTGAATGGGCAGATCTGTTTCTGGTCTGGCATCACTGAGTTTTTCCCATGCATTCGCCCCTGAGCTTCTCAGATGTGAGACAAATCTCCCTACAATAGGCTTGCTGCCATTGTCTGTACAGTTTAATAGATGCTGGCATGTTGGAGGTTACCCATGAGTCTGCGAAATCCGCTTTCCATGCTTACTCTTGACACACCATTGAAGACACTCATTGTGTATGCATCTGGGTATGAAAGTCCAGCTCAGTGTGGTCCTGTTGCTTGTACTGCCCTGCTTTGCAGTTTCTTCGCACTTACTCATTGAGTGCTGTTTTTGAAATGCTTACATTATATGAACTTAAAAGAAAATGTTAAAAAAAAAAAACCGCACCCAAAACCAGAAAACACCCAAAATCCCTGCCCCGTAAGATCTGTATTTGTATATACACGTGTCCGTACAATTATACTTAAATAAAATTAAAGATTTTCATCATTTTAATTGGTTCTCTTAGGCTACATTTTTGTTCAATGAATTATGTCTTTATTTTGGGGGCTATTTGTATCTACCTTACATAGAATCATAGAATGATTTAGGTCAGAAGGGACCTTTAAGGATCATCTAGTCCAACTTCCCTGCCATGAGCTCAGAGCCCCGTCCAGCCCGACCTTGAATGTTTCCAGGGCTGGGGCAAGCAATGAGGAGTATGAGTGGAAAAGTGTGAAGAATGCAGTGGACACAATGATTGACTATCTAGAGCTGTAACTACCAACATCCTGGCTGGTCTAAAGCCTGGCTACTCTGCTCTTCACCTTTTTTTTTAATGTGTTCATAGCTCTTCCAAGTACTTAGGAGAGCAAGGAACCACGTCAACTGAGTGTTGGAGGATTAAATAGTTTCCATCATCACTCTTGCCCTGCTCGGGGCCTCCTGAGCAGTCTTCCTTACTCCCCTGGGTAACAGGTGGTTATATGGTATAACTCTTGGTTCTTGAGGAACAGAGCCAGCCCCAGAGGTGTGCAAACAGGGCAGTTGCACACAGTGTCCCTGTATCTACCCAGGACGACCCCCAGACTGACAAAGAGATCAGGCTGGAAGTGGCTTTGATATCTTAGCCGTGTTTACCTTTATAAGGGAGGAAAAGGGCTGAGAGCAGTGGGAGCCTCATGAGTGGGAGAATTCGAGCAAGGGTGCCTCTGCAGGGAAGAGGAAGAATGGGGAAGCAGGCACCTGGCTGGCTGTTTCTCTTCCTCCTTCCTTCCACCCCTACCTCCAGAGACTGATGTAGTGCCTCCAAAAACGCACAGAACTGAATTGGGGTTGACTTGTATTTAGGTCTGAAATGGTTGTCTTTGGCAGTGCCTGCTCACTAATCTTATGGTAGGTTTAACCTGAGAATTTAGGCCATAGAAGGTGGGGGGCACATACCGAAACCTATAATGCATGCACCATGCATTCAAAACTCAGCTGTAATTACACCATGTTAGCATTAAACTCACTGAAAGCTTTTTATTACATTTAATTAGTTGACAGGGCAGCAAGTACTAATTATAACTTACTCTAACCTTCTTTACAAATGAGAAGTGACAGCTTGGTGAGACGAGAAGTGTGTTTGAGTATTTGATACAAAGAATTGATGCACCAGACCTTTTTCCTCTGGAGCTGTGGTCTAACCAGGGCAGGGTTATAAGTGACACATGTTCAGTATGGCTTAACATAATAGCCATGTCCAGAAAATATCCTGCAGTCTGACACACTTAATAGCCTTTGCTCAGAAGACACTCTGCTTTTGCTGAGAATGGTATTTGATTTCATTTTTCTGCATTAGTGTGCACAATGGGCCTTTGTCCTCTCTCATCTTTCCTTCTGCAGAACAATTCTGCTCACAGAGTACCTCTGAAGGCATTCTTAGGAATATTGAGGAATGCATCATACCACTATGATATGGTTGTGTGCCAAAGTGGTCTTATTCTTTCAAAAGAAAGCTTTGATTTATATAGGTTAGAGATGTAGTAACCAGCTGGGATAGTTAAATTTTTTTACAGGCTTCAACAGCACAGGATTGAAAAGTGCCTTCTTCCTTATAACTCTTGTTTTTGTTAGCATTTACCCTTTCTACAAAGTTTAAAACGTGATTTAACTTTGTGTTACAGGTGTATGTCTGAGTCCAGATCAAGACTCAGTCTTCACTGTAAAGGCTGCAGTACAGACAGCTCTTGTATGAGATGGCTATTTATGTTTGTTCACTTTCAGCACCATTTTAATTTGCTGCTACAAATCAAAGCAAGCTGAAGTATCACCTATTTAAAATTTTTGTTAAAATTTTCTTCTAGACCACATAGAAGCTTTTAAAGCAAAGTATTTGTTAGATGCAAAAATATCCCTTAAAGAAAGTTCTAAATGGAAGCAATATTGCAAAGAATGTTGAAGAGCTAAGCATGTTTTTTTGTTGGTTCCCTCTCCCCAGATAAATCTGTTAGCCAACTGATACTGTCAGTCATATTTAATTCGGGAGAATTCAAACCACAAGATAACTCTTGCAGCCACCAGCACATCTTGAAACACT